TATATATATATATATATATACACATGTTCTTTCTTCTGGCCTTTCTGAGTAAGTAGTATGGTGTCACGAGGGAAAAATTGTCTTCTGTATTTCTAGTATAATATGGTCATGAAAGCATGGTAAACAACATTTCTGCAATTAAAATAAAATATGTATCTCTCCAACTTCCTTTGTAGAACACCTTGGGAATCCATGGCGCAATGTTCAGTTGCCCTTCTCAGTTATTTATGTAGCCAAGGGGAAGTCTCGACCAGAATTGTCTGCTCGGTATCTGATTCGCCATCTCTTCACAGAAGATGTGTTGGTGAAGAGCAATGTTTATGGTAATCTGGAACGTGGCATGTGTCCACTGGACTGCAACAGGATCAATGCTCTCAGAGGTATGCACAGATACTCTCTTCAAAAGATGGGCTGGAGATAAATAAAAATTACTAAGCTTGTATTGCAATAATAAATCATGCAGCTTCTAAAACATTGCACAAGATTAGAGGCACAACCATTTGGAGGAGTGGAGGGGGGATATATTTTTAGCCCAACTCCTTATCTGTGCAAGATTAAAACAAAATAAATAAACTCTGTCCTCACATTATCTCCCTAGGCCATCTAATCACTTTTATACGTTTCAGCTTTTCCAATAACTCTTTAAAAATAGACTTCATCATCACTCTAGCTTTGACCCTTATAACTTGATGGTTAGCTTGACTGTAACCTATACTGGGAGAGTGCACTTCTGAAGCCTTGTTTTGACCCAGTTGTGTCTAAATGAAATATGTGAGCAAAACAGAACTTGCACAAATAATTGATAACGCCCTACTTATCTGCTCGTTTATTGTTAGACTTTCTTCAAGAGAACTACCCATCTTTTGATCTAAAGGAAACTGGATATGATTGGAAAGCATGTGTGGCTGCCATAAATAGTACAATCCGCAGTCTTAGACATGACCATAAGAAAGCTGCAATTGGAGTCCGAAAGAAAGCCTTGGCCACACCAGCATCAAATGAAAAGAGTCCTCCGCAAAGCCCTACTTCAGTAAAGCCGTATGAAAGCAACACTATCAACCTTACAGACTAAAATGCTACATGTCTTACAACCACGTGACATTTCTTGCTGTAGGCTGTTCAAAATGCTATACAGAAGTCAGTCTTGTTTGCTTGTCCCTAGCACTGTGTAATATACTTCACGAGGCCAAAATGCCAGAAGACTTGGGATTCCTCTTTTCTTAAGCCAGTGGCACTCATGCCCATCATAGAGATGACCAATGCCATTTGGTGCTAGATTGCATGATGGGCACTAGACTGACAAATATCTACTTTCAGTGAAGTACTGGCCCCAGAAGAGATCATTTTGCCTTGAAGGAGTACATTGCGCATCAGAAAGAGAAAATTATTGTCCCCCTGGACAAAAGAATAAGGATTCACAAAGCCTGTCTGGGTCAAGCTTCTTATGTTTGAGAAGGGAAACTTGCTCTAACAGCTGGATAATATAAATGAAAAAAATTATAGCACAGAAAGGAGAATGTGATCTGTATTACACCACTTTTGGTTGGTGGACATCTTGGTTTTTTTCTTCCATCCTACAAAAAAAGATTTGTTGTAGGATAAGGGAAGATGAAGACAACTACAACAAATATAATTGCTAAGTAATATTTTCCTTTTCCCAGTGGTTTGGCTCTTGCCTGGAATATTGAGAGAGAATATTTTTGTATATATATATTCTGGTTCTCTTTTATTCAGTGTAAATTACAAAATATATTCATTTGAAGGATACTTAAGGAGTAGCATACCAACATAACCCACTGTTTTGTGTTTGGTATATGTTCCCTCTCTGTCTAATCCACAGAGGAAGGAGTCTGCTTGAACTTACAGCTAGAGAAGTTGGATCCTGATACACCAATGAAGCCAATGGAAGGCTTTCCATTGACTTCACTGGGCATGGCATCAAGCCATCAGTCCTTTAGCTCAAGCTAAAGAGACTCATGCTTTAGCTCTGTATGTCTTGGGTTTTTACTAAGATTACAGTCCTTACACCTATTCACACACACCCAAAATAGTCACACTTTTTAGGTTTTTGGGCAGTTTGTTGTGAGCTATCAAGCATAGTTTCTCTGTGTTTTGTAGGTTGTTAGTAGTTGGAAGCATTTGACATCTAACTTTACAAAGTCAAGTATGAAAGGTGAAAATGCAGAATATATTTTAAGACATTGTTTGTTTCCAAGATAGTCAGGATTGTTGGCGACTGTTGGGGAAGGAGGAAAAAAGGACTATAAGATTTTATACACATGTTAATAAAGCATCTTATTTTGGAGATTACTTGACTGTTATAGTCATAATAAATATATGAATAGAAAATAACATTCCATTTTTTACATGACTCTCTATACTCATGATGCATTTCATTGACAACCCCATTAGTTTCATTCATTCATAAATTGAAATGAAATTCAACAGCAATAATTGGATGCCAAACTTAAATATTTCATTTGCAGAAATAAAAGTTTCTGTTGCCTGGCCATGAGGTTTTTCAGTTATGGTCATTACATAGGTAATTTTCTCTCTCTCTCTCTCTCTC